GCTCACTTCAACCTTCAACACTAACGTCGCTGCCTCTGTACAATGTGCATGTTAGATATGCATAATTGACGTCAAAGCAGCATCTTTAAATGGAAGATGGCGGCCTTAGTCACACATATAATGTGTGCTTTATGTTCCAGGCTCCAAAATGAAAAGACAGAAAAAAGAGAGACTTACTGGCAAACTGTTGGGCATACTTTTACAGATTTAAAAGTATTAGATCATTATTGAGTTTTCCTTTTTTTTTTTTAAAGGTAAAACTCAGTGAATGTAATTAGCTGTTAGAGCCTCGATTAAAGAAACCATCCTCTGTGAAATAGCATTCTGGCAGACTCTCAGACTTTTGTCAATACAGCTTTGCAGAAATTCTACCCTTACATTTCTGCATAATTCAAAGAGAAAAGGGACATTTGTTAATAGTACTGAAGGTTTGTAACCACATTCAACAACAAGATATTCAATAAGGACGTGAAAACGGAGACATTGTTGGATGTCCTGGCAACAGAAGCCGACATTTGACTCGACGGCTGTTTTAGTTCTATGATTGGTTGAAAGTTGTATTTTAAAAGGCTCATGCCACAGAACTTTCATCGTAAGAAAAAAAAACTGTTGCAGTACTGTGAACGCTGATACAGGAAAGGTTACTGTATTCCAAACACATGCTATCATCACCTTAGCCTTTCCACAAAGCTAATGTTTATTCATTGTAATAATTTCCTGCTCTCCCTATTGGCTGTTTCAAGTTAAAACAGGTACAGACAACTGAATACCATATTAGTATGGATCTGTGTGTATATACATACTATATATAAAGCCTACACTGATACAAATAATAGTAATTTGTTCAATTTGTTCACGTTAACACGTTAACGAAGAAATTCTCGACACATTCTACACACCACAGTTAAGGTTCACTGTAATGACTGAGATCCACGAGCTCTATGAAAAGGAAACGTAAATATATTTTTTTACATATTTTTGGAAGGCTTTGAATTATAGTTTTGCATAATTTTCTTGACATTTATCCACATTGATAATTCCATCATTTGGATCAGTAACAAATAAAACCAAGTGTAAAATACATATATCCACCTGCTGTTACTGTTTTTCTGGTCTATTGAAATACAGAAAAATAAATGATTTTTGTCATATTTAGGAATGACAATTTCAGAAAAAAAAACTGTTGCAGTACTGTTTACTTTGATTAATCATAATTGTTCATTATAAAGTACAATCTATTTTTAATCGATTAATCACGACTTTACCTATTGCAATTAATTAATTAAAATTGTTTATATATGTATTTATGTCACATATGAAATACATTTTTATTTATTTACATATACAATTTTAATGTTACTTTGTTCATTTGAATATTTTTAACTCAGTTAAAAGGACGAAAAATAATACCCTAATCTAAATTCTGCTCTTCCATACCATCGTGGTACCTGTCACTCATTTATAAAAGAATAAGACACAAACGAGTGCTGCGTCAAAGGAATATCATCACGAGGCTCTTGCTGAATATTGGGCTCCTTGCCCGTAAAATTTAATCATGACAGACGGGCTGCATTATTGACTTGCAGCTGTAACATCCAGTGTTCAAGGAGTGTGGGCAGCGCAGAGCCACTCAGTGTTTTATGCTGAAGGATTCTTTGCACAGTTGACCGCTTTTTATAAATAATCAAGAATCTGTGATTAATTAGAAACCAAATATGGGATTCTATCTGGTACCATCAGTTTCACGGTGCAGTTTACTGATGTATTGGCATTGATTGCAAAAGGGAGCCCTCTAATCAGGATCATGGTAAAATCAATGGCTGGCATTGCCTGAGTTACCTGGCCATGCTTCAGTGTATACGTCTCTCGGAACATTATACTGAAACACTCAAACCATTTGCTTGAAGAAAATTGAGACTCACTTGCGGTGGAAAGAACTTGTGTGGATAAAGGAGAGAGCACCACGACAGGTGATCAAGGGGAGACGAGGGTGGCTTTACTGTGAAAGAAAACTACACTCCTGGATTTCTCACAGAAATTTTCAATCCATCAAGCTTCCCAGAGACAGAGGCGGTTTAGCCAGGGTATGACCACCCCCCCGGCCGCCCTACTGGTGTCACATCACACTCGCTCTGTTGTCAGTTTCTCCCGCGTGTCTTGATCCCTCTATCTCCGCTCAACAGTGACTTGAGTTGCAAGATGGGGTCACGGCCGCACACCTACTCACAGTACTTCAGGTGGGCTAAGGAGATTGACGAGGTGAGGGCAAATCTTAGCTTATCAGCCGATGGTTTCCGGTTCGATACAAAACAGCAAGAACCCATGAACTGTGACACTGTCTCTGCGGTTTTCATCAGTCACTGGTACCGTGTCAGTTGATCCAACACAGGATGTACAGTACAGCACGTGCCTGTCTCCGCTGCACACGTTCACAAAGGCAAGACAAAGATAAGGGATCAGGAGCAAAGGGACACTATTAGGTGTCAGCAACACATTCTCCCACCGTGTCACATATTGACCAACTGTCAGCATCCTTTGGCATCGCTGTTGAAGCATTAAAAACATGCTTTTTTATATGGGACAAGAAGAGTAACAGTTGAAGTAACTTTAAATCAAAATGAATTAATGAATTTGTGGCAGATTCTGACGTAACCACGTAACACTCAATCAATGGTGTTGTAAACCGAGGCCCCCTTGTGTTTACAGATTATTCTATTATAAATGTAAAAACATGAATTATTGTAGCTTAGCCGCTAATTATATGTTGTTTAAAGTGGAGCAGAATAATGAAAGTACTGAAACTACCTTCAGAGCTTCATTTAAAAGTTGCGTTCATTAAGAAAATACATTTTTATTTCTAATGTCATAAAGACGCAGGTGTACTAGGATTAAAATTGGAAATTTATGAGGAAAGAAATTACAGAAAAAAAGTAAGACAATTATGAGAATATGAGCAAGTCCACCCTTAAGAATAAAGTCATCGTAAAGTCGTAATAATAGTTTTGTCCTTGTAATATAGCAACTTAACTTTTTTTCTCGATACTTCAGTCAGTCAGTGTTGACTTGTTTGGGGTATTAAAACAAAATGTCCTCATGATGGACAGAAGAAGATTAGACAGGAAGAACACATACATTTTTTAAATGTTGAAGTTAATCATTTTTCATCTTTAGTTTTTTTTTATAATCAGGTTTATTTTTTTAAATTGTAAAAGAAGTAATATCAAGGTGTTCCAGGAAGAAGACTAGACTCTATTCTGTAATTCTGCAACAGATTTATCTATTTATAATAATTTATCAAAAAATTATTATAAATGTAAGTTTGAAATCAGTTTGACTGAAGTTTTGTTTTGGGGGGGGGGTCCCCTTTTTTACAGCCAAGTCCAGGATATATTGCCTTTGGCAATATACTCCAACGTTTGTGTTTCCTTCCAGTGGAACTCCACAGCGTTCCCTGTTTTAAGACGAGGCAAAGGAGCAGTTCCTTTCAAATATTCTATAGTGTTAAAAAAACATAGATATCTATATCTAGATCAAACATTTGGCAACGCTTCAATAATCTTAACAAGCCGTTTGTGACAGTGTCACACAGCTGAATTCATGACATCAGTCTTAGAACTTGCTGACCCATATATATGTACATATTTTGATTCCACGACAAAATCAAATAGCTGATGTGGTTGTTTTATATAAGAAACAGAGAACAATCAGATTTTAAGCTAAAAAGGACCTAATTCAAGCTCTAACCACATTGACTTCCATTAATATATCCAACAGAGTTAAAGTCTCCATTCACCAGCAGGTGATGTCCACTGTAACAAAACTACAGCTGCAAAGAATTTGTAAAGTAGAGTAAAGCTCATCAGCAACCTGTGGTATCTACCACCACAAAGGGAGCAATTACTGCAACATTAAACAGTGATAAACACTGCTGCACAGTGACGATCGGAACATCAGGGCTGTCGCCACATCATCAGTCAAGTCTGTGCTTCTGGGTAGCAAAAGTCAGGTAATGATACATTACAGGGGACAAAAACAGGTGCTGCCAAACATTCTAATGACTTTGTTCTATCAATTATGTACAAATCCTTGCATAGCCCGGAGTCTACCACACACTGCTAACTCGACATCACACCAGCTGCAGTATGTAACTTATAATTCATCTGTTCTGTGTGTGGATGCCTTGGGGTGAGTTCGTACAGATGAAGGCATGCTCCAAGAGTAAAGAGTCAGAGAAATATTATACTTTGCATACAGGCATTGTGTTCCCACTAGTACCAGTAACATATTCTTCTCCTCTTGTACTCAGCCCAGTCAGAATCAGTTGGGACACACAGGTGCTCAGCTGTTCTGTGTTCTTCAGCTGTAACGGCATAAACAGGCACTTGGTGGTTTCTGCCTTTGTTTTGCACACACCCCGAGTTTTCTCTTTTGCTTTTCAGACATAAAAACAACATGCTAATGAGCTGGCAGGCATCTGCTCTAGGCAAGTTGTTTTTTTCTTATCTTTTGCAGTGTTAAGTCCTGTCTGTATTGCTCATTTACAGTGGAGCAGATCAATGTAACTGGACTGTGTGGATACACCATTTGCTTTCTTTATTTAAAGATAATCTGGACACATTTTAAAATAATAGGTCATTCACTCTCTGATACAAACAGAAAAGAGTCTAAAAGATGTTTTATTTTGATAATGTAATGATCCTTCAATGCTGTCCTTGGTACCGGTCTGTAGTAACGGGTGGTACTGGCTCACCAGTCCTTGGAACAAAAAAGGTTGGGGACCGCTGGTATAGATGAAACTACTCCATAACAGACTAATACATGTTTCTGCAAGTGCTTATTAACTGAATGATTATAAAAACTTTTAATTACTTAGGTTAAGAGCAGCAGAGTTTGCGGGCCACAAAAAACAGCTTGGCGGGCCACATTTGGCCCCCTGGGCCTTGAGTTTGACACATATGCATTAGAGTGTATTTAATACAACAAGACTGGTATAGACAGCAATATTAAAAACGCAGTGCTGTCTTCAACTCCATCTGTAACTCAATGCCCATCTGTGCCCATGCTGATACTCTGAAAGTGTTGGGGAGTATTGTTCACTGGATCCATCTCTCAATACTGTGTCAGGCACAGCTTCAGTCAAAGCCACTGTATTGACTGATTTGAAGGCATTCAAGTGGCACAGCTGTCAGAGAGCAGCAGTCACAGACTGTTAACCTCAGGATCTGGAAGTGTTTGCGAGGCAACAAAGCTTCACAGACTCTGTCACTGTCTTCTTTTGTCAAAGTTTGGCTACTTTAATGAGTCTTTTATCTGCATCAGCAGGATCCTAACATTTACACCCAAAGTGAGCTCAAGAGCAGCGTCTGACTCTGGCCACGGTAAGCTAATTCAACTGAAAATTCAGGGATAAATCTCTGACTTCCCTTGTGCTTTTAATTTTAAATAGTTACGTTTGAGTTGTCTATTATCTAGAATAAAAAAAACAACAAATTGATGCCCTGAGATACTGTGTATTTGGATGTTCTTCTGTGTTCATCTGAGCAGCCGATGCAGCGTTTAAATGAGGCTAGGAAGTAACAGAGGAAATGAAAGTTAATTACACAATGTGATCCTATCTTCTGTTTGTATAAGGCATAGGAAGAAAATAAATAAAACAACTGTATGTTGACAAAAACAATACTATTAGGTCTTTTAATATTTACTCCATTCTAGTATGAGCTAAATTTAAAATGTTCTAAAGCTCAATTGAATATGCCATGTAAAGTGACGGCCAGTTGTTTAGTTAACATTACTGTTGTTATAGTTAACATTAATTCCTTGGCATTATTGAGATACACCCAATAGAAATACTTTTGGGTAGTTTTCCTTTTGGTATCAGATCAGATTTATGTACTAAATATATATACTGTATGTGTGTATGTGTGTGTGTATATATATATAGTATTTTTTTTAAATCGCAAAACAATTGTCAGACTTTAATACATTTTGAATATATATATTTAGACCCCGCGACCCGGTAACGGAACCCTTGTGTGATATATACGTGCATCAAAAAAAGAAAAATCAAAAATTTTATGGAATTATTTACAAAATATAAAAATATATATTTGTTTTTATTATTTTTACAATTTGTTTTTAATGTAATTTTTATCAAAACTATTATGATAACATTTTGATCTGTAATGAGGATATCTTACTTCCAAGCCCTGTTTACACTGTGAGGTCCTATGGTCTTTCGCCGTCATGTGGCTTATGGTCCACCATGTGTTGCTGTAATAAACAGGAAGTAAAAGTTTAAAACCCCCAAATGAAAACAAGCAACAGCTGACTGACAGATTGTGTTTGTGTGTTTTTGTCCTGTTTAAAGCAGACACCTGCTGGAAAATGACTCTACAGCTATTGACTCCAGTGAACTGTGCCGGCCTCTTTCAGCCCGGCTGCTCTCTGCTACAGCTGGATGGTGAAGTACTCCTGTTTGGTCAAAAAGGATGGCCTAAGCGCTCATGTCCAACAGGGGTCTTTGGGGTTCATTTAAAAAAGGATAGGGTAAAGTTGAGAGCCATCTCCTTCTCTAATGATTCCAACTACCTTCCCCCATTACGCTGCCCTGCTGTTTGCCGCCTGGATCCTTACGATGGCCTCCCGGAATCTTACCTGATCCATGGTGGCCGTACTCCAAACAACGAGATCTCTTCTAGCTTGTACATGCTAACCGTGCATAGTCAGGGTTTTAATCGAAAACTCACCATTAGTTGCAAAGAGAAGGAATTAGTGGGTGATCTACCAGGGGCGAGATATGGTCATACAATGAGCATGGTTCAAAGCCATGGTAAGAAAGCCTGTGTCTTATTTGGAGGCAGGTCCTACAGACCTGCAGGGGAGCGGACCACAGAGAGCTGGAACAGTGTCGCCGACTGTCCTCCTCAGGTTTACCTGTTTGACCTGGAGTTCGGTTGCTGCTCTGCTCACACTCTGCCTGAGCTCAGCGATGGCCAGTCCTTTCATGTATCCCTCGCCAGAGAGGACTGTGTGTACTTCATTGGGGGTCATTTGCTGAGCTCTGACTCCAGACCCTCGCGGGTCTTTCGACTGCATGTTGAGCTGTTACAGGGCAGCCCTTTGCTCTCCTGTGAGTGTCTGGACACTGGTATTTCCATCACAAGCGCCATTATCACCAGAACAGGTCCAACACACAAATACATTATATTAGGCGGGTACGAGTCCGATTCTGAAAAGAGGATGAAGTGCGGCACTATCGTTCTGGATGATGAGGGCATCCACTTCGAGGCATTAGAACCACCGAAGTGGTCCCCAGATATCACACATAGTCGTACTTGGTTTGGTGGGAGTGCTGGGGAGGGAAAAGCCTTACTTGCTTTACCCAGTGATGGAAGGAATTCTCAAAATTGCACAAATTCTTTCTATCTTGTGAGCTTCCGAACAGAGGAAGAAGGGAAAGATGGAGAGGGAACCCAGGGCTGCAGCCAGGAGTCCACAGATTATGATGACTCCACACCTCTGGAAGACTCCGATGAACTCTACTTTGGTCGTGAGCTTCATGAGCTCGACAACAGTGACAGCGAAGGAGATACTTACAATGAAGATGATGAAGAGGATGAAACACAGACGGGCTACTGGATTAAATGTTGCCTGGATTGTCAGGTGGACCCCAACAAATGGGAGCCATACTATTCCACTGAGCTCCACAGGCCAGCTATGATCTTTTGCTCCAGAGGAGAGGGGGGTCACTGGGTCCATGCCCAGTGCATGGAGCTGACTGAGACTCTGCTGCTCAAACTCTCCCAAGGCAGAAAGAAGTATTTCTGCCTTGACCACGGTGGTCTTCCCTACCAGGAGATGACCCCCACTCGACAGGTCACCCCTATAAAGCACACTCCAATGAAAGTTAAGAACAGAAAGATTTTTCAATCTGTCAAAATTTCTCCAAGCAAAAAGCAGTTTTTCAGGAGACTATTTGACTGAATCTGCATGTGAATGCTCAACGTTTAAAGTTTTGTTATTCATCCTCCCCCATTTTTGTTAAGCTTGATTCCGTATACACGCGTGTATTTAATTGCATTTATCGTTACAATTCATTTATACCATTTAAACAACTGCTTTACTTTTAAGTAGGACGTTATAACATAGCTGTATTTTATCTTGCCACTGCTGTGTAAAAACAATAAATAAAAAAGAAATACATCATGAAAAAACAAAACCTTCTGTGTCCATCAGTGTCTTTTACTTTTCACAAATCTACTTTAATAGTCTTGTATAAATTCAATTACGTGAATCCGGTAAAATGAAATAAATAAATAACCAAGACTCACTCAAGTTTACCACACGTTATCACAATTACAAAATGAAATAAAACCATGTATAATTTTATTGATATGTGGTCTGATGTGAAAACACTTTTTGTTCAACTGATAAATATCAGTAATAACAGCAGAGCTTACAAGTATTGTATAAAAACACTGCCTCCCAGGTCACTGCACATTTAATAAAACCCACCCTATGTAAAGAGGTATGCATAAAGTACTAAGTAAGTAAGCAAGTACACAAATTAAAATACTTATTATTTGATAATAATTATGCTTATTAATTTTTTATAATATTTTAAGAGTAAGTCAACCTAAATACATAGCAGTAAATTAATGATGTATCTTTTTCTTTTTAAATGTTTTCTTGTACTTCCTGCTGCTCTGTTCCTTTCAGCCTAAGGGCACTACTTCACTTTACTCTTTTTCCTCCTCTACTACATACATTCATGTCCTCCGCAGCTACTTACAGTACAGTCATCTTTAAAACACTTGTGCCTTCAAACTTGTGTTTATTTTGTAATATATGCTTTTTGGATTTTTTTTATCATGTCATTAACAATCATTAACAATCTCAAAATAAATCCAAATTTTAAAAAAATATATTGCTTCATTTGAAAAAGAGTCAATTATTTTGTTTATTTATTTGATATCTTTATTGTGACACACAACAAAATTCACCAAACGTGGACATCGCACAACGCACTGCAGCAATATTGCGCATTTGCTATCACTTCAAGTGTTCCGCAGCCCCTGTTAAATGTAGGGGATGTATAGTGAGGTATTCAGTGTAAAACAAAATGATAAATAGAAAGTAGGATTTCCTGAATCATCCATCACCTGCCGACTCAGAAATGCAGTTCATCACGACAAAAACAAAAATGAGACAAGCTCCTACTGTATGGCATTCACTTGAAACACAACGCTGTTGTACAAATCTGACAAGTGTCCAATAAATGTGAATATTTCCCAGCTGTCACATAGCTAAATTCAAGACGAGAAAATATAATCAAACGTTCAATCAATAAGAAAACAAAATTGCCTGCCATGGTTTAAAATGGCAAAACAAAATTATCAATCAATCAAACAAATAAAGTTGCCACCAAATCCGTTAAAATCAGATCCGTGCAGCTGCAGCTCATCCTTTCCCCCTGTCAAATAAAGAAATACCTCAGTGCAGATAAGGTCCAGGTATGATACAGAAGTTAGGAGAAATTCCTGTCAGCTGGAGTCCATGGGGTGTTATACTCAGTAATGGACCTAACTTTATTTTTATGATATCAACGAAAGAGTCGGTATGTGCTCTATTTTATGTGAAAAATGTGTAATAGCATCATCTATCCTCAAATGTGCAAAAACCAAAACAGATAAAAAAAAATGTTTCAAAGTGACCTGGCATCTCTTCCAGCCCTCCGGGATCCCAGAATAAGGCACTAAAGTAATCTTTTTCCTGAGGCGCTCATGAAACAAAGAGCATTTGGGTCTCTGTGATTGCATTTTGCCCCAGCTCAAATGATGTATTAATACAGTGGCCACCAAATGTGGTTGTTTTTAACACAATTTTCCTCTATGACTTACAGCACCTTCATCTGTTTCCATAAATATATGTACTATATAAATTCATAATGTATCATATTCTTGAAATACAATAAACGGAACCATATTTCACAGATGCTGAAGATTAGGAGAAAGACTTTTAAAACAAACAAAAAAAAAACCCTTGTGTGATATATACCTTTTTCTGTGCCATCTTTTCTTATATTCAAAACATAAGAAAATTCACATTTTTAGTGTGGTGCATGTCAACAAGAAAAAGAGTGAAATGTTGAATTAAAGTGTATTATATTTGTAAAAAATCATAAAACTATCTTAGTTTCAAAGAACATTTGAAACCAGTTCAACATCAACATCAAATAAAAGTGAAATCATGTTGTGTGCATCAAAAAAAGAAAAATCAAAAATGATTTGCTTCCAGAGTCATGTCATCATCCAGCTTCTCTAATGGGTCAATTGTGGCCTGCAGAGCTTCGACCGAGTCTTTGTGAGCCTCCATAAACTTCTGCAGGTACTTTGAGGTGTAGAGCCAGTGATGTTTTAACACATCTTCCAGTTCAAAGATCTTTGATTGACGTGCATTCATCTTCCGAAAACGTCTGAACAGCTTGTTTGCCGATTCATTCCCCTCACTGGCCCAGGCTCCTATTGATCCATCTCTTTCCACAATTTCAGGAACATGTGCCAGAGTCTTGTGAAGGTAATTGGTTATCTTTCCATTATACCTATATTTGAAGGCAGTGGAGAGGATGCCAGCAAAGCGCTGGGAGTTGAAGCTGTAGCGGCACAGCTGGTCAGGGCATTCCTTTGCTGGGCAAGTAGCCCGCCACACAGGCTTCATCTGGAGGTACAGCCTCATAAGCTCCCTCAGGGCCTCTCTCCTCTCCTCTGATGGCACCAGCTCACACACTGCATCCACAGCCTCCAGGGTCATTAGCCTGCGGGCGTAGTTCCCATTCATCCTCATTACTGGTTTAAGCTTCATCTTTTTCCTCAGCTGTTTATCCAGAGCTGACCTCCAGCTGTGGCGTTCCTCCCGGCTGGGGTTGCCCTTACGGTAAACCTCCCCGATCTCGTCCTGGAAAATTTTGTAGAACTCAGTAGCATTGCCGATGTCACAGTGTAAGGCGTCAAGAGTTGGCTGTGTCTCCATGAAGGGTTTGGCTGTGACCCCTTTGACTCTGTCTCGCAGTTCTTCTATAGATTCAGAAAAGGGGTTGGTTCTCCAGATTTCATAGCGCTCAAGGTTCTCTTCATGACAGCGAGTGATGGAATGTAGCACCATGTTCTGAGATGCCTGTGCCCTACTTGAGTCACACAGAGTACAGATATATGTGGACCCTGAGGCTTCCAGCCCTTCCATCTCCCGTACCATCTTCTCATCATATCCTGTGCCTCTGAATTGAAAGCTGAAAAAGCGGGGCAAGCCGCCCAAGGATAGGATGAGTCTGCTGTTTTTCATTGCATTACGCTCTGCAACAATGGGACCAAGAAGAGCTGTGAGTGTCTCGTGATCTGACTCATCTACAAAAATTAAGCACAGGGGCTTGCAGGACAGTTCTGAGTTTGGCTTTGGCTCAGTGAAGATCGTTGCCTCCTTTTCATCATCATCAGCTATGACAGAGACAGACATAATAGTGAAAGAGAAACGGACAGCTTTCTCAGGAACAACTGGTCCTCCCCCATGCTTCTCATTGACATCCCCCATGCCATCACAACATTCTTTGATCATAACGTTAAAACCGGAGGTGCAGGCGCTGTCTTCCAGTCCTTTTTCCCTCAGCCCCTCCATGATGTCTTCCTCCAGATCCTTTAACGCCGACACAAGTGCCACATCGTAGCGAAATCTCCTTGCAATGGTCTCAATTGGGGAGTCATCTACTGAAGAACCCCACCCAGAAAGCCCATTAATAATGCCCACATTGCAAGATGTAGATACATTTTTCAGAGCTGGCTGCCATTCAAACTGGTGAAAGCCAGGGAGAAGCTCCTTCTCTGCGGCTCGGAGGGTGTAGAGGGGCTGAAAGATCTGGCGACCGCTGATAGCTTTGACCGTGCGGTACAACTTGTGATACTGGCTGCAGCTTAGGAAAGTGTTCACTCGAATGGCCAAGCACACTGCAGGGTGCAGCCCGAATCCTCTGCCTGCAGAGAGAAAAAGAAAATTAGACAGGGGAAAGTTTCAGAAGAAGTCAAAGGAGGCAGGAGCTAGAAAGGCAGAACTGTGATACAAAGGGAATAATTTAAACATACAGGCTCCTTGTGTTTAAAAAATGTAAATATTACAAATTTCTCAATTCAGTACCCTATATTTGGAACCGTTTTTGCCCTGATACAAAAGAAATTGGGAATAAATAATCCAGCTATGAAAACGTCGTTGTCAAAGGCCCGCATGGCCATGATTACAAAATCCAATATATCCTAATTTTAAAATGGGTTGCATAAAAGAAACTGGTGAAAGTAATGTATTGGCTGCAGATGAAAACAGACACCAGCTGGCTTCCATTCCCCTGAGAGGGGGATGGGGCTGTGTAATTTGCAAATACAAGAGCCGCTGATGTTGTTTTGATTCTAACAGCTCCTTCAAAAAAGTTGTTATTGTGCATTAAAGAGTGTGTGAGGAGGGGAGTCAGACTGACAGGTTGCCACAGTGTGAGAGAGTGGGAGAGAAGAGGCTGGGTGTGGAAAACAGCCCTTGTTTCAATAGACAAAGAGGGACAATAATGAAAAGCTTTTCAATCCACCTCTTGAAAACTTTCTCAGTGCTTAATAATTGTTAACTTTTCATCTAATTGTCATTCATATTATAACTGCATCTCTGCGAGGTAGGTAGGGTTATTAATAAGTAAACACTTTTCATTTGTTTGTGTTCTTTGCCCCAGGGGGTGATGGGTATACACATAGATTAAACAATGACCACAAGAACCACTTACCTTGAATCATGGCTTCAAGCTCATCTGCTTGCCGGTGTTCATTCCCAGATCTGAGTGCGAGCAGCAACAGAGTCATGCACACAGACTTCAGGTCACCGCCCTCCTCTTTGTCCGCAAAGATCCGCACGTGGTTTTTCAGATTTCTCAGCCGGTGCTTCTGGGCACGACGGGTTAATGACAGCAAGTGTTGCCGGGGCCTGCCACCTTTACTGGCCAGCAGGTTGTTATTGATTTCTGATAACTGTATTTCTTTGTCCGTTACCCTCAGATCATGGTCCTTAATGTGTTTGTGAAAAGACTCGAGTCTGACCTGCTCACCACACCCTTCTCTGGGACAAAGCAGAGGCAGGGAATACAGAGCAGATAAAAACGCTTTATCGGGCGATATAAGAGCACTGGGGTCACAGGGCAACTTGCAGGCCGGACAGTGTGATCCCACAACACAGGTGTATTTTTGAATACAGCTGCGGCAGAACAGGTGACCACAGGGAAGCTGCAGTGGATCAGAGAGCAGGTGGGCACATACCAGGCAGGTGAAGGAGTATAGGAAGTCTACAGGGAGTTTCCCACTGATTAGGTCAGTACTCAGGTGGTCTTTCGTGCAGTGGGAGATATTTAACCATTGCTCTCTCTGAATACTGGGTCTTTTCCAGCCCCTGAGAATAAAACTGTGTTGCCTGTTTCCAAAAGGTCTTAGAACTTTCCTTTCTCCAACGGGAATGCTTTTAACATGCTCCCATCTGCTTCTCTTTGCCAGGCTCTGGACTCTGGGAATGCTTCTCCTTCTCTTTCTCCCAGTTCGCTGAAATGAACATTTCTTAGGGAAACAAAGAGTACAGAGCGAAGAGTGGGGTTCCCACTCAGGAACGATCATCCTGGAGAAACTACACACACCGCCTCCTCTTATAGCAGCCATCCAGCAGCGATGGCAGAAGGTGAGAGGATGGACAGCTTCTGTGTCGCCTGTCACGTCCACTTTGAAGACTTTGAGGATGACCTCTGGCCAGCTTGTGGACTTGCAGCCCATTTTGCGCAGGACACCTTTGTCTCTGCTGTCAAGATCACTGTGAACTTCATGCACAAGTCCATTAACCTTCCTCAAGGTCGTTCCACAAAGACGACAGAGACACCTTTGAAGGGAGATATCAGTCGTGTTAAATACTTATTCATAAAAGAATAACATTATGTTGATTGTAAGATGACATTTGATTTGATTACCTGAGGTGGTTCATGTGCGTGTCCATTTCCTCAAGCTTCCTATCCACCCTCTCACCTGTGCTCTCTACATTTTCCTTGCTCTTCCCACCAAAACATAATTTCATCACACTCTCTGGACCCGCACCACTCTCTGACTGTATAATAGAAGCTGCAGACATCGTGCTCCCCAACACAGCGTCTTTTGCAGTCAGCGGCTGGCTGGGCGCGGGAGCCCGCTCCATGGACTTTACTCTAAACAGTTTGAACTTCCATTGAGAGTACTCTGAATGTGGATGGGGTATCTCAGCTGGCATAGAGGATCTGGGACCATCCCTTTCCAGCCAATCCTCCATCTTGACTCAGCCTGGATTTTGGAGAGAAGAGAGTTGTAAGATTGATAGCTTACAAAAGCAGGAAATTAATTACCATTGTTTATAAAGAATTGTCACTATCCCAACAGCTTTATGTGATTCTGTCAAGTTTAAACAGAGAACACCTTGAAATTCCTGCTTAAACTGAGAAAAGTGAGCCCTCACACAGTGTCCTTTATCACGCCTTTGGTGACATTTGGATTTTGAGTAAAATGCATGAGACATTGTGGAATCAATATAGTACAAAAATGGTCATCATTTTCATATCCAATCTCATCAGTGCAGGGAAAAGTGATGCTTCCTTTAACACAATTGGTTTGCTAAAAGAGAAACTTAATCTCTACAAGGCTGTCAATCATTCAGTCATTTTAATGTCTTGAGAAATATAACCAAAAACTAAAGAACCATGGACCAAACTGACTGCTGCCTGGAAGCTCCAGTTAATCATACACACAGACAAATTGAACAAACAAAATAGCAGGTTAGTAGTAGACTCGTCTTGACTAAAGATCATGAAAGATTATTCCGAACACATAGTATTTCATTCAGAATTTGTTATTTCAACAGCCAAGACTTTATGAGAGACAAGTGGGATCAATGACAACAACTCCATAGCCAAGCTTGTGTCATCCATCAAGTTGTTATTATAAGCTCAGACAACAAAGAAAACAATCTTAGAAGCTGTTGACTCTTACCATGGCACACCTGCAGTGCACACACTGTAGTATCTCCCATCTATGCATCCTTCATAGTTTTCAATATATGTTTCCCTGGGAGCCTTAAGTCTGGTAGAACTCTTCATTTTTTTGCCACTGTGAACTCTCTTGCGAGACAAGCAGCTGAGTCTCTGTGTGTATGTCAGATGGGCCCTTACCTTGTTTTTAGTCTCAGCTGCTGTCAGCTCCCTGGGGGTTAGGGGTGGGCTCCTCTTTGCATGGGAGCACAGGGGAAGACCTGGACTCAGGGCTTGCATGCAACAGTGACTGTGTATGTTGAATGTGTCTGAGTCTGCAGCATCTGTCAGCAAAAGTTTTGGCTCCTAACCTCAAGCTTTCCTCTGTTTGTCTCTCCATGGTCTTATATTTATACCCCTCCTTTGCCAGGATCCCAACAGTCAATTCCTGACACCTGACACACACACGCAGCTGATCTGAACAAAAAAATGAAAACAAGGTTAACCCCAAAGCACGGTTGCTCACACGTGTGTACAGAATCCAACAGAAACACATCTTTGTGCTGCAACACACTGATCATCAGCTGGAAACCCTTTGATGTCACCTTTATCTCTCCTGCCTGGCATCCATCTGTAGTCGCACTTTACCCAGGCGGCCTCCGTCTGACAGAGAGAGATGTACTGTTAATGTCATGAAAAGGCCACAAGTTCAAAGCTGCAAGAACACGGCACAAAAACAAATGGACTGCACGGACAAACGTGTCAAATAGATTTCATTTTTCAGAAGTGCCATTTAAAATGTACAATGACCATAATCAGAGTAGCTCAGGGTGATAATTAGCAACTTGGGGAAGCTAATAATGATTTTTGTTTGTACAGGATAGCATCAAAGTGTTTACTAACGGGAGCGGATGTACCTTTGATTAGTTTTATTGATTTATCAACATAAATGCAACATAAATATTACAGTGATGTCAGATATGGTTAGGGTGAGATAAAGAGTAACTGAATTATAGAAACAACACAGGTGAACAAAACCATGAAATACATGAAACAGAATGAAATTTGGTTTAAAGTGTATCAAAAATAATAAAATGTTATAAGGCATATTTATTTGTCCGTCCACTTATAGTTAAAGAAACTCAGTCCATAACCTCAGCATTAATTTAGTTTTCACTATGGCTTGTGTATTTCTTTTTATTTTACTAGGAGAAATGGGCAGTAGCACAGTGCAGTAATATTTAAATGTGTTTAATAATTTTATGTGTTAGATCAAAATCCTAAATTTCTGATTGTAAGAATGTTATTCATCAGTGCACACCTTATTGTTGGCTAAGGGGGCTGCCTGGAGAAAAGATATGAAAAAATGCAACATATATACATATTTCAATATTTAATATATATATTAAAAAATCATTTTGGTTTTATAACCATTTGTCCTGAACAGTATAACATGTAGACTGCCATAATCGTCAGATTCTCAACTTCCCAATGCTACATTAACACACCTTCTGTGACCATGTGCTGCAACTTCAGCAAAGACAAATGTGTGTAGACCTGGTGGTTTGTGCCTATCTTTGTTAATAATTTTCTTATGCTAAAGCTATGCTAGTTATTGCAATAACTGTTGAATAGTGAATAAAAGCAGAGGTGGAAAGTAACAAATTCCATGTCTTCACGTTAATGTAATTAAGTAGTTTTTGTGATTTTTTGTAATTTTTTAAGTTTCAGGAATAGGTATTTTTACTTGAGTACATTTTAACTCATGTATTTTACTTTGTTAGATTGTAAAAGAACTTGTTACTGAGTAAAAAATTAAATGCAGGGAAAAAACAATCTGCGTTAACTGAAGGTAAATTGCATGGGGTAATTACATTTTTTATATACTTTTTCCATCTCTGAATAAAAGCAAGAATATTAATTCTAAAAATAAAAAATGTCTTTACATATTTTGTAGTATTGTCCGTGTGTTTCCAAAGGGGGCCCAGCTAGAAGCTAATGCTGTTCAGGCGGCCTTAGCATGAGACAGTTTGGGAACCACTGATCTATAGTATAATGATTGATGCAACATGATAAGAAAAGCCCACTGAGTTGCATTTCAACAGTTTTGTCACTATCGCCATTTTTAATGGCTAAGCCAATGTAGGCAAATGTGATAAAGGGACTGAATGTTTTTGGACAGAACTACACATTACCTCTCTCGTGTCTCTTTACCACCATTCAGTATGGGTTTTAATTAGACGGCCTCATCTGATGTAATGCCTCAGTACGTATGAGGAGAATTTGCCCGAGATCTTTCTTGTTTGTAATTATTCAGGGCATTAATCTGGTGCATTCTCCACGGGAGCTGGTTGCTGTTGAGCTGGAATCACGAGCCAAGTCATTAGATGCACAGTGAGTGGGCACCAAACCACAACTGGATATCTTTTGCTCTTGTCAGATTAACAAGGGAACTGGATAAATACTGGCATGATTTGCAGCCTATATTCAGTATGTATCATCAAGCATGACCTTAAACCACAGCTGCTTAATCAGCCACAGGCAAATTCACTTGCAAGGAATTTCTTTAGAAAATGTAAAGTTAATACAGAAGAGCTTTGAGGCTATTTCCATCCATAACAGACAGCTGGAAGATTTGAGGTAGAACATGTTTGATGCATTATATACCCAAGAACAAGCAAATGATGGATGGCAGCAAGATGTTCCAAACCTATTTATAGTGAATATTTGGATTTATGACAGGCGTGTGTAGCCACATGTTTTTAGGTAAACGGCATACCTGGCTGTATGGCAGGGACAGACAAGATGTCAAGTTGACAAACAAGCGCCCGACCCCCCGTGACCCTCATCTCACTGCACCTCCTAATTGACTTGTTATTGATCAACTCAAAGATAGTCTGATTAATGAAGGAGGAGACTTGTGGAGACAGCCACCTGGCATGGAGCACGCTGTTATGAATGTGAGGAGCAGACTCTGGGGAGCAGCTGCTGCAGTTACAAGATGTACAAGAGCTGGCAACACACCATCACACCAACAACCAGAGCTGGATGGAGTTGTTTTTTTATCCTTGTTATTTTCAAAATATTTTTATAGTGTGTTGAAGCTAAGAAAAAAAGGGTGATTCACCCTGGAGGTTCCTTTTCTAATGTTACATAGAAAAACATAAAACAAAATCATACATTGAGGTCAATCTACATCTATTATATACTGTATATTCACCCTAAATTTAAAGAGAAAGTTTAAATTTGAAATGGTGAATTTGATGGAACAATGCACAAATGAAGCACTAAAATATGCAGCTACACAAGCTGTACGTGTGTGTGTGTGTGTGTGCGTATATTAGAGAAACAGGGGGCTACTAGAGGGGAGGAGGATGAAGTATGATTGAGTAAAAAAGAAGATAACACCGACAGGCCTGTGTTTCTAAATTATGGTGAGTGTGTAGGTGACACGCAGGGACACTACCAAATAGCAGTCTACTAATCATAAAAATAGTTAAAACTGTCTGACAATAATCCATCTTTGAGAAACATGAGAGTGATTTTCCCTCCAGGGCCTCTGCGTGCGTTCTGCAGAGAGAGTTATAAGAGGGAACAGGAAAAAGGTGAGAGAGACAGAGCTGGTGAGAGAGGAGTGTGTAGAGTATAAAAAGGCCGGCCCAGAATAACAGGTTTAGCTCAGAGTGGAGAAGACAAAAGGGCTTAGGGCTAATTATGGGCCGCAACAAGAAAAGAGGGGTTCTGATGCCTGGTGGGCAGAACCATCTCAGAGAGATCCACCGAGGAGCTTTAGTCAATGCTAGTTAAAGGGAAAACGTCCAAAGCAGAAATAAGCATTTCAAGGAGTTCCTTCGCAGCAGTAATGTCTGCTTCTATTCTCACCGGGACTGAAATGTAATTGAAGTTCCAGTTTCCACTGACGGATATAAAAATGATGGCTTTTCTAAATTTCATGATGCATGTAGCCATCCCTGGGACTCTGTATATCTCTGGGGACTCTGTATATCAGTGGAGAGTATTTCCCACTCTCATATTTCCACTATTGTATCGAGCAGTTGCTATGCAAACTTTATTTGCATTTCTATAGCATGTTTGACAACTTCTTTAGTCCACTGTCAAAGAGTCCCCTCCCACTGTCCAGTTTATCAATCCCTCACATACAGAGATGATGCGGTGGATTAATAATCCAGAGGTAGACATCAGTGCCGAGCTATTCGTTAAAACCACCTGCCAGAACAAGCTCTTCAGCCCACTACTCAACCCGCCTCTCTCATACATCTTCCTCTCAAAGTGTTGCCTCCCTCGTCTCGTCCATCTCCACTCACCTTCACCTCCAGTTTTGTTAATGATCAATTACATGATAATTCCAATCAGGTGATTAATTACAGCCTCTCCCTCCCCCTTTCTGCCAGAGGTTTTGTGTTCACACTCTTGATCGCACCGTGACAGCAGAGGGACCACTGCTGTCCCAGGGGCAGCTCCCCCCGACCCGCATTTGTCGTCAACTGATTCTGACTGATGGAGCTTTAACGGAGAGCAGGGACTCGCCACAGCAACGTCAGCTGCTGAAAGCCTGACGTCGCACTATCTCTCATGTCCAGCTACACGAGCACTCACTTTATTGGACGTTCTTGTTCTTTAGGTGCATTCATTTGTTCTGAGTCTTGTTTTTTCCACTTAGCCTGAGGGGACACTGAGTTATTTTAGGTTTGGACAGGTTCCATTTCTCTGTGCTGGTGTGTGAGACAATATGATGGACAACCAGAGCTGTAGTGAAACAAAAACAACTTGTTCTGGGCTAAACTTAATTTAGGTAGACAGGCTTTGAAACAATCAATAAAGGATGCATTGTGGGTAAAATTTTACTTTGTGCCGAATAGTGCAGTGGGAAACCTGGCTTTAAAGTTAACATTTTTTCTACATTTATTACGTTTGTATTCTGGGTTTGTTGCCGCTTTTCTACCATGGCCTATAGTTGCTGTTCATGTGTCACGTGTGAGCTGTTGCAGTGTTGGCGTAGCAAGGCAAATACATTTTAATATTCACTTAATTTTAAATACATTTGAGTTGAGTTTTGGAGAAATAGCTGTGAATGTGTCACCATGGTAGCGAGAAGACAAGAAGGGGGCGCTGCAGAAAAAGTTTAATGTCAGTAAGTAAACTTGGTCAAACCTTTTCTAAAAAGAGTTTATCAGAGTAGTACTACCTTAATTATATTCTGCTAATGTGGTACATTAGCTGAATTCAAGCAGTACACTATAATACGACAATATTAGGACTGATAATGCATTATTGCGTTACTGTTGTTTTGAGAGTCCTCACCCAGACTAATCCAAGCTAACCATACTAAACGCTACAGCCTTGCTTCTACTTTGGACTTTCCAACGGATTTGAATCTTGTGAGTTCCATTACCTCCAACAGCTGATCCTATGTTACACTGGTATGTTTTTTACTCTAGAGCATACTCGTCAAACTGGCCCGCAGTGTAATTATATTTGCCCCGCAAGATCATATCAAATGTGTACTAGAGTTGGCACACCAGTATATAACCCCTATATACTGGCAGGATTTGTAGTATTAGCTGTGTACGCACTATGTCATAGCATATACATTTTGTTGTTTTTTGTTGTTGGCCTGTGAAAAAAGATTTACATTAAAAATGAACTGGAAAGGCTACAGCTTAAGAGACATAATAACAAACAAATACCACTGATGTTCAAGAAATTCTACATTACATCTGCTGTCTTTTTCCCCTTCCTGGCTTGTCTGCTGGGTGGAGTTAGTGTGATCACACTCACCTGTGTCTCTGATTAGTCTCATTGGTGTCACCTGGTGCCCTGGGTCTATATATACCTCCCTCCCTCCCTTAGTCTTGTTGGGATCATTGTTCTGTAGCTGTTTGTGAGTGTCCTGTTCTGTGTTACCTGGTAATCTTTGTTAAGAAAAGAAGTCCATTGCTGCAGTGCATGCCTTCTAGTTTATGTTTTGCTGCAGTCTATGCCTGGTAGTTTTTTTTCCCCCTTGTCTTGTTTTGTTAATTTGCACTTTGTAAATAAACCTGCTCTCCTGGTATACTTTTGTATTTGGGTCCTGTCTGCTTCCCATGATGTCCACACTTAACAAAATATTAAGTTTGGCCCGTGACTTCATCCCAGTTTTTAATTTTGGCCCACTGTGAATTTGAGTG